ACATAAATTAATTCTAATAGATTTAATTAAATGGATAGTGTACTTACAGGTTCTAACGCAGTATCGTCCAAAAGTTTAAGGTCACTTTAAACAGAAAATCATGATCTGTAGTACAAATAAGAAGAAAGGTACGTGTACTACGTTTCTGACACGTATCTGCAAATCAATTTTCGAAACATGATATTCTGCATCAGCAAAACTTCCCATATTGTATCGTAATCTGAGATACGGAAATTTAAGGGTCAGGGAGACACTATAGAGCCGTGATAGGTTGCTGCAAGAGATTACACGGTAGGATCAAGGCGAGCATCCGCCGCACAATCAAAGATGCCGTTTTTATTCGTTTAACCGGCTATGTAGATGCCAGCCCGCGAATATTGGCCTGACCACCCGAAAGCTAATTAAAGGGTAATCGTTGCCATTTTTTCCTCTGGTATACCCTTCATCGAACACTCTTGCGGCGTAACAGCGATAATCGCGACTCTGCGGTTCATGAAGCTTGCACTCGAATATTCATTATGATTCGTCGAACAAGAACACGCGACCGGCCAATACATCGAATATAACGCGCTTCTTGCAACGTTTATGTTTGGAATTTTAATGAACACAAGATTTTCGATCAAATCTTCGCGACGAGCGTGGCGCGACACTTCCGACTGATAATACGAAAGCCTATGGTGTTTGGCGAAGGCTCGATAAATTGTATCATACGACAGATCTCGGTCGCGTGATACCGGCAATAATCTCGTAAATTATTCGCGTAATCGACCGGATTTACAGTAAATAACGATCAGCTGGAGGTACATCTCAAAATTTCGCTGTTGTAAACTGGTGTAGTGTGATCTCTGGTTGTGTTTGAATAAATTAATTTTTTCAGGGTTTTCCCATACTTTTACGTTCAAATTTCGCTTATGCGTATAGTTATTATGCGTGCTAAAGTATTCTACTTTCAGAAGAAAACGTCTAAAATATTCTACGTTCTTTTTTTTTTATTTTTTCCCTCTTTACTGTTAGTTGAATATAAAACATTTTCATTTTGCCTTAGAATAACCTGAAACGATCAAGACGGTTTACGATGCATGGTCAGTGAGCACGCTTCTTTCCGTGGATACGTGCGATATAATAATTTGTCAGTGTACAGGCTTCTTTATAAATAGACCGATGGTGTTTGCAATTTTCATCCCGCGCCACTTCCCAGTCGATTCTGATGCACTTTTTGTTTTTAGTTTCATTCTCTAGTTCCGTAGGTGGCCTATTCTGACCAATTTTTTCGTAATTTACCAAACGACCACACATCGTACAATCGATCGGTCGATGATTGATCGATATCGTCACACTATCCACCCACCGTTCCTCTGGAACACCCACAGAGAACTTGTAGCTTATTAATTTTCTCGATTAAATTTCAAACATGAGACAGCGATCTGAGCCGATCCATTGCCCTAAAAATTCATTACATCGGCCCAATTAATCCTCGTTGCTTGCTTGTCCTCGTAGTCCATTAAATTTTTATCTTGTCATGAGAAATTGGATTGTTCCCTCTCCATTCACTTTGCCTATATATCTGGCCGGCATAATCTGGCCATGTCATGAGAAATTTTTGCCTACGTGAACGTTACTGTTGCTTTAACCGTTCCATATCTCTCACCATCAGACGCAATAATGTCAAAATCGTATATATAGCAGAGTGTCGTTCCTCTTACATGAAATAAGAAATAGGGCAAATGCGCCTAACGTTGCTTATCAAATTTCAAATCGTTCTCAGCTCTCACTCTCGGATAACTAGCTCAATTCGACTATTTGATTAGAAAGTACACTCGTCATAGAAAATTTTGCCTCGATTTTAGTGTCCTTCAATTTCTATACGGAATTGAAAAAACGAAATATACGCTGAATTCGAGAAAGTGGTTTACCTAGATCTATACGTAGAGAACGTTTATAGCTTGAAGAGTACAGCAGTGAAAGGACCAGTTAATACAGACCAGTTTGATGTTTCAATCGTCGTAAAGTATCGCTTAGAACAGGGATCATTCCTCTGTAATTGGATACAAATTCTCACCAGTCGCTAATGCGTGCCTTACGTGGAGAATGCCATAAATTTGGCCAAGAGATAGACTTTGACAAACGAGGAATTCTCGCTGAAGACGCGCAAACAGGAATTTCGATAACGAATCACCACTCCAGTTTCTGGAGACTCTTGGCTTCTTGCAAGAGGAAAAGCAGGAGTTCGGCCAGGAGACGAAGAAGGATGCGTTTAACCTACGAGTCAGGCGATGTGGCCAGAACGTTTTTTCAGAGGATCAGATGAAAGAACCCGGCGCTGTATGAAAATTTCAGCGATGAATTCATGCTCGTAGCGGAGCAGGTTGTGCGAGATAAGTCGGAGGAGATCGTTTCGCTGGGACCACACGCAGAAACCTTTATTTTTGACGCTGGTTGGAATCATCGAGTTTCGATTCATCGTATCGTTACCACGAGTCGTCCCGATAAGCTGACGTTAGACCAGAATTTATTAGGTAATACGTTAAATCCTTTTACCTTTTAAACTCTATACGATGTTTCCTTTTATCGCGAAATACGTACGGAGAATGAGTGTCTATAGTAACGAGTATCAAGTACGATAAATTATAGAAAACATTGTTTCCTCTTCCAGATAATAATCAGAGAAGATCGTCGTAGGAAAATTCAACTTTCCCGTCCAGAGAAAAATAAACGTTTCTATAAAATTTCAAATTCAAACAAAAAGTGATATTTATTAACTTAATTAATTTGTAATATAAATGCAAAAATGTAATAAAATGTTTTTATAAAATATCTGTCTCTTTTGAATGGTACAACGAGGAATATTTCTATTTCAAAAATGTATTACTTTCAACAGGTAATAATGTTTCGTGCAATGTGAATATGTTAATATCGAAGATAAGATCAACGTTACAGACGAATAATTTTCAATTGGTATTGAATAGGTACGAAAGTTCTGTCTATTGGTAAATAAATAGGTACAGGAACTGACAGAATTTTTCTATTCGTCTAACGTTCTCTGCTATTTTCGAGGAATTCATTGACACGGTTTTAGAAAGACGGTAAAACGGAAACAAGCGAAACATATAATGCAACAGAAGTGTGCATGGTCGCGTGAAAATAGCAAGAAACGTCACGAACAACGTGAACGCGGATGATTAGTACGTTTCCTCCAGGAAAAGAAACAGGAACGCAAGAAATCGCGACGGCAACAAAGCGTAGTTCAAGGCTCTGGCGAAGAAACGCACGATACCAACGGCAGAAATGGTACTTAAAGCAGGTCTACAGTTAGGTAACATGTGGTAAAGCGACCATCTGTCTAGGAAGCAAGTGCCAATGGAATGGCTGCCAGAACAACGACATCGTTTCTTCTTTTCCTTCTTAGGTGATGCTGCTACCTTGCAACATACGACAAGGTAGCGCACAAATTATGCCTGACTGGTTCAAGTTTAGACGATTGTATACCTAATTATTTTTCGATTACTGGCGTCTGGTTGCGAAACTAGTTTGATTGAATGCCAATGTCGCTATCTTTCGTTCCTTGGTGAAATTGATTTGGAATTGCTCTAAAAAAAAAAAAGATTCAATTTGTTCTCTTTTGTGAACAAGAGGAGGATCATCTAAGAGCAGCTGTTACAAAATCTGGATACTATTGTTATAAAACCCAATGAATGGATGATACTTCTGTACAGATGAATAGAGATTCTGTTGCCGTGAATTTACTGTCTTTCGTCTACTACGATTTATTACTTCAACTCATTTTTAATTAAAAAGAACATGCAAATAGAACTCCTACCTTGGTAGGATGAATTTCTTATTAAAAACTACTTCACTAGAATTAAAAGTCCAAGAGCAATCAATCTGTAATTGATCGTGGAGATTTTATAGACTCACAATAGTCTTTGAGGGTCCGAGTGATTTCTTCTAAAATATATATCTTTCATTTCGATTTCTTTGGTACGAGTTCTATACTCTAGTTGTTGGTAATTCTAATATTAAAAACGCTATTTCATTTCGTCGTTCGTATCCGTGAAAAGCAATTAGATAATAGCTAAGAGCATAAGTACACCACGCTACACAAACTACCTCGTTTATAACGAGTACATCCGATACTTCACAACGTCCAGCTGTTACCTATATATATTGTAAAAAAAATTGTCTTTCAAGAAACGAGATTCTTTCTTCCTTGGACACGTCTTTTCGTCAACGAGAATAACTGAAATATTTATACCGGTCTAGTTACATGGAACTCCCTGTACGAAGCAGGTAGAGCACTATAAATCAAGACAGATAGTCATCGGTCAGATGAGGAGCCAGAGATTGAGTGTAGAAACGCGCCGCGTACACTGTACGACACGAGCGTTCTCGTATTTCAAGGGATCCAGTCAGTTAACGACAGGCACGAGGCAATAAAAAGGGTTCGCTATTTGATTAACGTCGAATTTCTACCGTCTTTAGGCCAAATAACAGCGTCAGACGTTAACGACCACACGTAAACGATTTGCACGGTACTTCATAGACGCATGGTAGCATCTATACTTAATCATAAATTAGTCGCGCGACGATCGCTAGCCAATTTACACCAGGCAAACGTATTTTCGTTTGATTGGAGTCGACAGATGAGCGGGGTTCGATCGTACGTGACAATACTTGGAATTTCGACGCTTGTATTAGCTATAGATGATTGACAATGAATGTAATTATCGATAATTCGCGAGCACCTTCTAGGTGCACCTTTGAGTGGCGATTGAACAACTAAGCATAGGTTCTCTGGAAGCTGTTAATCGCAGGATGCGTTGGCAGATAAATTGAATAACGGTATGAGGCAAGGAGGCTTTTCGATAGCGAGCTTGGCGAGGTACATTATACAGTCAGAAGAACTTAAGGAAATAATAATTAGATTGCGGATGTTTATGTATCTGTGGCAACAGCGAACGTGCAAAAATATTTCCGGCTAACAAAGTGAAAATTGCAGCTGTTCCCGATTACCATTGAACGCATATTACCGAGCATAAATAGAACGAATCGGTAAATTCGCGATGTACGAGAGGAGAGTTCCGTCGACCATAATTTGCAAGGTTGCTGGCCTGAAGCTACAGGGGATCGCCGTAAGCGTGACGAGAGAACAGGTTGCCAAGAACTTTAACGATTATGAAATTTCCAAAAATAGGATATCTATTCTTGCTTTTTAGCCACACAGGTACACCAACGTATCAGGTCAGTCTCGTATATTGTTTTTGTCCAAGCAAGATCGCATAATATGATACATACCTCGTCTTTATATCCGTAACCTTATTGGTTAAAAAATCGCCTTACAGATTGTGCAATATGGTAAACATAGAATTACAGAGTTAATGATCCGTTACTTGCATGTTGTTCAATAAAGTATAAATTGAATAAGATCTCCTTATGATCTGCAATAAGAATGTTGAAGAAAATACTGGTATTGTAATACAAAGGTGTATTATCCTAACTTTGTCGACGTCTACGTACTGTAATGAAAGTTTCCAGAGACAACACGTAAAATACACTGGCTTTTAAAGTTATCGACCGTCTGGTGAACATCGTGGACAACGTGAACATTTTCACGATATTGGTTAAACGTTCGTTATTCCAGCCTGAGAGCCACTGGCTTCTGTCAAGCGTCCAGCTCTGAACGATAATTTATCATTTAAAATTCCTCATTTTTAGAAAATTCCTCTTAACACGTATCGTGCTGCGATACTTTCAATTTCATTTCTTTCGTCCATATTCTTAAATTATTTCTTTATATTCACGAGTATCATCGAGTAAACAACAATTTCATATTGGTAAAAATATTTCAAATTACTGAAATTTATATTGTTCGAATTCTTATTTGTCGAATTTTTACAGTTGAAAGTTTAAGTAATTTGTTTATCTTTTATCTGTTTACATGAAATTTTCTAAAAAAAAGTTTTGCTTTCTGAGTAAGCGTTATGCACGATACGGGACGTGTTAATCGATGCATCTAATTAACCCTTACCGCATAGTTCAGCTCGTTTCCAATCCAACAGATGTACAAGAGTTGAGATATGGCTGCGCTCAGATAAATCCCGAACTTCATGACGTCTGAGCTTTGCCCTCCGACCTGTACGAAAGATGCAAATCTATCACGATCTGATCAGTACATTCGACCATCATGTCTTACCACGACAGCCTGGAAACCACTCAGGCAAATAATCGAAGTACTCGAAAGCATCTGAATGAACATACTCAAGTTGAAAAGTTTGTTGTAATCGTTGGTCATACACACTAACCGCTGATAAAATTGAAAGCACGTCTTATACCGGTAGAGAAATCTATTGTTCAGTTTCTTTCTATTGAAACGAATATTCGCGTGAATGCGTTCGTCATAACTCTCGACCGTCTGTAAAGACAAGTTCACGATACAATGAAGATTTGACACGTTATAAATGAAAATTAACCCGCGCTGTAAACGTGTTTATGGTACCCTTAAAGCGTAAATGTGGATCTTTCATATTCAATGGGTTTTTCAGTTAATAGTTCTTAAACAATTTTCAAACGAATCACATGACGTCTTTGTATATTCTAAATTAAAATTATTATACAATTTTTGATAAATAATCTGTTTAAATATGTTAGACATATAGTGAATAGTATAAAGTAAAACCTTATGTTTTGTTCGTTATGTTATGTTCTAATTAGCCCGAATATGAAAGACATAGTAAGACACGTATACATGGTAAGGATCAAATATCATTTTCTTACATGCTCCTTCGTTTCGATTCCACAATTTTCAAAATTTACATTCAACATATCGAATAATACAGTAAGCAAGGTGCAGATCATAACCACAAAACTGTCTATTCCAATTATTCCCAATAAACCGCCGAAAACAGCGCACGTTTCTATAACCAAACTTATCTCGTGCCAAGGTGATATCGTAGTATTGAAAGGATACTTTGCTCTGATCAACAAACCGTCCTCCATCGGTGAGAAAAATAACAAAGCGGTTCCTAATATAGATCCTAACGCGGTAAACCCATAGAATATCATTTTACTTTGTACTTGATGCTTTTCGATAATTTCCTTGATATATTCGACTTCTATAAAGAATATCGTATAGTTAATTAACTAGAGAAGACCAGTAGATAACTCGGTGCTGATATTTCATAGTTTTAGTTTGCTAGCGTACGAAAGAATTTCGCTATAGAAACAAGCGAACAAGTCTAGTTGAAATGTTGCATATTGCAAAAGGCAAGTATGCAAGACACGACAACGTGAAATGTGCCGAGTAATTCTGAATAAGTCCCTGGTAGAGAATGCTTGACGGAAAAACGCCGTGAAAAAGATTGGCAGAATGGGCCGTGAAAAAGTGATCAAATAGACCTGAATTAATGATCTCAGCGGACGTCATTCGCTGCGTCACTTTAGTATCCAAGATACGTCTCTCCGTCTATGCTCTTGTTTTCACCTAACAAGAGGCATGCCCTCTCCACAAGAGACAGTTCGTGTAGTCTACCGCGTCGATGGAGTGAAATGGTAAAGTATGAAGTGCATTGAGCTATGTCACAGAACATATCGATGTCACTTCATGAAATATTGCACGAATAATTGTTTAAAGCAAACGTTATCGATCATTTCATGTAGTAATGTTTACGGCAAATGTTAATTATTATGTATAAATATCAAATATTAACTATAGAATCAGCCAAACAATTTTTTTGTTCAATCTAATCTTTAACTCCAAATTTTATGTATAAAAACGAAACTTTACATTTTTCCCCATCACTGTCTTGTATACAAATGAGATTGAGAGGTTTGAATCCGAAGATATTCCAATAAAAACTCTTACAGTTATGTCACAAAACATAGCATAATTTATAACATATTATGCGATAATTAGATTGCGCGCTTTTCATCAAATGTGTCTAATTTTAAATTGTTTCTACTCACCGGAAAATTCGCAGAGATCGTCGGTACATTTTAACGTTTCGTCCAATAGTTTGGTTATTCCTTTCTGACGAAATTGCAAATTCATCGCCTTATATATAACAACGAAAATTCCTGCAAAAATACAGCCATCGTCGGTGCTGATCGGTAAGTTGTCCCGGTTCACATAAATATCCAGGAACAGAGTGATTGCGAAGATGTACATAGCTATCAGCATCCATATCTTGTATACGAAGTAGGCACAGTTTAAAAACGCTGAACTTGAATCAATTTCTCCGAGGCCACTGTACCTATAAACAAAACGGCGCACTTGCTTCATTAAATATGTATATCATTTCATAAATATTCTTGATAATAATTAACAAATTTCCTATCAGTAATTCTACTATTATTCATAAGAGTTATACCGGTCGAGAAACTGTATATATGAACGACAAATTTATTATCACGATTCTCACTTAATATAGCTAATCTCAAGATTTATTAATTTTCGAAAGGGTTTCATCCATTCGTGACCTGGCTCTTGAGCCATCTTAATGTAGCTTGTTCTCCCACGACTCAAAGAATAAAAATGTTTTCTCATAGGTAAAGTCACCAAGTCATCCGTATCGTGTGAGTATATAGTATATACCTACATACTATGTATGTACTTTAACTCTGGCATGTATCATCGGTTATTTTCAATCAATCTGACACGATGCCTCTTAAGAAAATTGCGGCCGATTTTCGGAATTATAGACTCGATCGTGCTACACGTGTTGGGTCCCCACGTCACTTCCGCGAATATCGATAGAAGTGGCAGTAATTGCATACCGATAGACGGGCAAAGACACGTTTTACTACAACTTGGCACGGAGAATAGTGACAGTCTAAAGCAAAGTGATACGGAGCAACAATTTTATTGTGTATTACATGTTGTACAGTAGCTAATGCATGTCTGTTCCACTAACGTCAAATAAAAGTGCTTTCTTGACTATTCTAGGTCCTCTCGAAGTAAAAGGAACAGAAGCGCACGAATAATATTATTCTATTGTTACCATTTTTATTGCCATCTATTTTTAATCGATAGCTTTAAATGCCTATAGAATGAACATAATGATAAAAGTAATTTATTTGTTTAGTTTAATGTATAAAGTTAAAAAAAATTTTCCGGTACCGGGAATCGAACCCGAGCCTCCTGGGTGAGAGCCAGGTATCCTAGCCACTAGACCATACCGGATTTGAGGATTTTAGCTTCTTTATCATTGAAATACTTGAGTAACATATCAGGTATAGTTTCTAATGTTTATATAATATATTTTAGTAATACATGTTTTTATTGTGTAAAAGAATTTATTGATATTGATAAATTATTAACTTGCGAATTGTAAAATTAATTTTATACATATTTGATGAAATCAACATACAGTTAATCTAATGAATCGAATCAGTAGATGTAAACAAACACACGTAGCGTGTTTGGTTGTTCTTCTCTGAACTTATTGTTTTAGATTTACACGAAGTGGGGGTTAGGAGAATGTTAATTTTGTAAAAACTTGTTTCCTTGGGATCTTTCTTGCATAGGCAACAGAAAGGTTAGAGGATGAATCAATATGTATACAGTCTGTTCGACCTTATTCTGTATTAGCGTTCCAACTCGCTTCTTCGCATTTTTACGTTTTCTAATTATAACATATAGTACATGAACTGTATAATATTTACAATTTTTTCATTACAATCATTCATATTTATGATTCTGCTACTGGCAGCTAATTTTAGTTTAGTAATAAATTAGTTCCGTAATTGGAGTACATTTGAGTGCGTTGATAGTGATACTGAAGCATTAGTTTTATGTGACTTGAATTTTGATCCAGTGTATTTTCGTACTGTTATGTGATAAGCAAAACAAACAAGGTCACATCTCGGAAACGTAATATTGATTTTCCAACTATAAATGTAAAGAGTAACATAATTTATATAAATTTTATCTTTATGAATATCTTCCTCAGTGTTAGAAATTAATTGTATGTCATTGAATCGAATTTACAATTTAAAATATATTATCTGACAAGATCACAACAATGATGCAACATACACATACACGCGCGTTATTGCGAAATAAAATAATTATGAATTTAGGACAATTAATTATTTTGTTTCGCTGTAGCTTTTTACAATAATCTATGAACAATTAACGCATTATTTTCTCACTTTTATAGGATAAAAAAAGTTAGCATTTTGCATTGAGAATTGAACACGGGATTCTCGCGCTGCCTATAGCTGGAGTGCTTCAAAAGTATCTTTATAAAATGTTAAGATAGCTAAATTATGTTTTTAGCCTTAGAAATTTATCAAAAACTGCAAAAAATTTGTCAGGAGTGGGATTCGAACCCACGCCTCCAGATGGAGACCAGAAGGCACATTGAGATCAGATATTTGAAAACTGATAAGGTAACAACCTTGAGTCTGGCGCCTTAGACCGCTCGGCCATCCTGACACATGAAAGCGACGTCTTATACAATGTAAATATATATGTTTTTATACGATTACATCTGATTTTATACTTCGTCCTCTAACCTAATATATATAAAAAAAAGGTAATTCTATTATATACTAGTAAATTTGAATTTATAGTGAAATATATTAATTATCTATATTGCCACTTATATTTTTAATATTTTTTAACGTATGTATGGAAAGTATTGATTTCTAAAATAAAAATCAATATATTATAGAAAAGTAAAAAAGTAAATAAATATTTCATTATAATATAGTATTTTGTAAATGAAAATATCAATAAAAATAAAAAATCTAATACATGTTTCCGCCCGGGATCGAACCGGGGACCTTGTGCGTGTGAAGCACACGTGATAACCACTACACTACGGAAACTACACTTCAGAACCTTTTTTTAAGAGTTTATATAGTTATAAACTAGTTATTTGAAAACCAAATTTGTTAATGTAATTTTTATCAAAATTGAGACCACTGATATCTTTTTCAATACTGATAAAATTTATGGCATCTATTACATAAAATAAAAAGATTAAGGTATTCACTGTAGTACGGTCTTCGAATAGTAAATGTAAAATAATGATGCTTTCGACCTACTTTAATTGTTAGTTTGCTTGGTCGATTTTATATTATGTTACGGATAGTTGTTATTCCGACACGGTGTGAATTCAAAGATTTTTTCTCAGACTATAAAATTTATTCATTTTTTTCTTCTATTTATGCTTTAAAATGTTATATCCTCTGAATTCACATGTGCAACTTAATTGTAAAGTGAAGAACACATTTCGTTTTCAATAATCGATTATTTATTTACTGCGTTCATTTTGTGAAAGTGTAAGGGATATTAATCCTTTCGGTCCTTGTAATAACTTTCGTGTATTCATATGGAATTTTAGCGATTTTATGATGAATTAGAAATAAGTTGTTCATTAATATTTTAGCGAGGGATCAGAGGGTTAAAGGTTAATGATGTATTTAACGTATTATTAATATATTTACAAAATTGCAATAAATAATATATCGGAGGTCAATGAGCATAAATCTTATACATAAATTATTCCATATCATGTCTATTTTTACACTATTAAGTGTGAAACACATTTATCGATATTATAATAAATTGAATTACTAACAGTGTTACATACAGTGATATACTGTAGAATGTTTATACTATATTTAATACAACGAGTATTGAAATGATTAGAGTATGTTAATAATTCGGACCTTATTTTCTTTAAAACATAAATACCGTTGTATTTATCATATTTATATCTGATACTTATTTACTTATTATACGTATTCTTGAGATCTGGGAAACATGCAAATATTATTTTGATTGAGGTTCAATATTCTTGATTTAATGAATATACTATAACTTGAATTTATTTTACGAGTATGTAATAAATATTAATTGATGATTGAACGAGAGGATTAAAAAATATACAATGAAACTATACACACTGATTATCTTATATTGGGACTAAATTACTGATATTTTGCTTTCTGAAAATGATTATTTGTGATACAACACACAAATGCTTGAATATGTTTTCAAATGATAAAAAATGCACGTTTATAATGGATAAACTTTTGTATGTTCAATTAAGTTAATAACGTAATAGTTAAATACTGTACAAAAGATAAAAAAATATTGAGTAAATAATAAATGCTAATTGTGGAAAAACAGAGAAAGGACTATTTTTGTTAAAAAAAACTCATTTCTTTCTTTTATCGCAGTCGGTGGTTTTTTGTATTATCAATTTATTTCGCTGCCTAGTTACTTTGGTTGTCGGCCGACTATTCGGTGCAATTTGTTTTAACCCTTGTTGCGAGATTTTCGCTGGACTAGCTGTACGTGGAGGCGTTGGACCTTTTAAAAGAGCTTCGACATCAGCTAGCCGTTTTCTCAAAGTTCTATTTTCACGTTTGTATTTCGCAAGCTCAGAATCTTTATCCAATCTTTCATGACCGGAACTGCTAGTTTCTTCCGCAAAGTGCCTAAACATGAGGTGTAATTTTTCCTCATGTTCTCTTTGCATCAAAACTATTCTTCTCTCTGCTTCTAATTTAGTCTGTTTTAGGGCATTTGTTAATGTCTGTATCTGCCATTCTTGAGACTCTATATGACCTTCTAATTCAGCTGTCTGAACTTCGAGATTTTTAGAACTTTCCTTTAAATCGATTACTTTCAGAAAATACTTATAGAATAAGGTTCTCATTTCACCATCTGAAAGTTTCGCTAACCTCTCCATTAGCATTCTTTCCCCTTTCTCACGTTGTGATTGATTTTCATCGAATCCTTTCCGTCCACAAATCATCTCATTTTTGTGTTCGATCATAGCATCGATCGCCTCAATAGTTTCTCCACATTCTAATAATTTTCGTTCTTCTACAGTAGATAACGTTTTCTCTTTTTGAAACTTTTCATCTAGATCGCATTTCTCATCTACTAAACAATCTCGAGTACGTCGAAGGTTTCGAATTTCATGACGTAGAGCTTCTTTTTCATCTATGTCTGCTGTTCTCTCCAAATCCATGGATTTTTCTTTTAAAACATGATCAAGGTGTGATATTCTCGCACTTACGTCTAACAAATTTTTTTTCTTATCAGAGTAATCGGTTTTTGATTTACTGTTATTTTTTTCATCCTCACTTTCCGATTGCATCTCTTTTAATTTGGAAGCAGTTAAGTTATATTTTTCCTCGAGATCACGTATTTTTTTCTGATCCTCTGCTAATTCCTCTTCTAATTGTTTCTTACGTTCTTCTTCTTTTTTTAGTTGTTTCTTCAATTTCTCCATTTGCTTTTTAGATGTATTTAAAGAACTCTCAAGTTCTAGTACTTTTTTAGCAGAATCACCTGCAATCTGCTTTATCATTTCAATATCCATTAATCTTTTCTCATAATGGATGGCCATGTTCTTATATAATTCAATTTCCTTTTTATGAGCAGATTTTTCTTCTGAGTCTTTATAGATACAAGCATTTTCCGCTTGAGCCAGTTGGCTTCTTGTATTATAATATTCTTCTTCTAATTT